TGCACACAAATGCCATGTTTATAAAATGTCTATCTTCTATTTTGCTGAGTCACCATTATTGTGTGTGTATGTGGGTGTATATGTGGGCATGCAGGTGCACTTGCAATTGTGAGAGCCTGTACATGAAAGCCAGAGATCAACATCTAGTGTTGATGTCATGGTTGGCTATCTCTCTCTCTCTCTTTGAAATAAGATCTCTCTGAATCTGGAGTTCACTGATTCATCAAAGCTGAGTAGTTAATGAGGTCTGAAGATTCTCCTGCCTTTTCCCTCACCCCAATGATTGAATCACCAACGTAAGCCACTGAATCCAGCTTTAAATGGGTGATAGGTATCCAAACATAGATCCTCACAGATCCTCACATCTATGCATCAAGAACTTTACCTACTGAGCCTTCTTACCAGCCTTGAGTTATCATTACTTTTTTAAACATGTACAAAGACTATTAAATAATTTTCAACTGAGTTTTTTCCATCTATTGACATTTGCATATGATTTTGCTTTGTCTCCAAGGATATGATGAATTATTTTTAGACAATAAGCTTTGCTTTCTATGACAAATCTTATTTGACCATAATATATTGTTCTTTCAATGAACAACTAGGTTCTTTGTAATATATTAAGGTGTTTTGAGCTTATGTTCATAAATGAGTAAGCTAGGCTATCTACCACAATATTAACATGAGCCAGCATTAACTCAAACAGCCTCATCAGGAAGATGGAATGGCAGTACATGGCTTGAGAAGGTCGGTCCATCAGTAAAGACAACACAACAAAGGATGTTCTAACATTCACAGCTTTAGGGCAGAAAGGAGAAACAGACAAATGTCCCATCACCATGAACACTTCCTAAACATTTCTTTTAAAATTCAAGGTAACAAAGAGTAAAAGAAAATTTCAGCACATGTGTAGGTATAAGAACAATTCCTAAAGTTGGTCCAGCTGATTTGTTTGGTGCACTGCACTCAACAATTCCAAGGCCTCCTGGAACATTACAAAATCAAGCATGTGTTGGGTCATCAAGAAAGTCATTACAAAATTAAACTGACAGAAATTCTAGCTGTGAAAAAAGCAAAGAAAAATATATGAGAACTTTACAATTGCTTGAAAACGAAGCAACACAGGTTTAAATAATCTATGGAATGGTGTAAAAGTCCCAAGAGACATCAGGAGAACAATAAAGAACAACATGATGTCATCTTTAAACGTGGGAGTATTTATATAAGAAATGACTTTCCAGAAAAGGCAGAGACAGTGAACTGGGGAAATAAGAGGAACCTGGGAAGTTGGTTCAGGGAAGATCAGCAAAGCTGACCATTCCCAGGGCAGAGACCCAAGCTAACGAGTGGAGTCACTCACAGACAAAAGGGGGGGGGGTAGTTCTGGTAACTTCTTCCTTGCATTTTAAGGGAACCAATGCAGACAGGTGTCTGAATCTGCGTGTTTGGATGTATGCGGTAACGTTCCCTGGCAACTGGGCACCAGTTCTGTCAACTCCTGCTTTGTAATGAGAAGATACCTCCAAGAGAAGTGTCATTTCCTTCCCATGCCTTTATCTCTGTTTGTCGATGAACTCTGGGAGATCTGCTGCCCAGCAACACGTACACCCTTTTCGGTTTCTTCCAGCAAGTTTTCTGCCATGGCTTACCTCTCACTCAGCAGGACGTGTTGCAATAATCAAAACAGAAGGCCGTTCACGGGTATCAATGGATTTCTCCCAAGTCCCCATCCTCCTCTGCTATCCCACACAAGGAATGCTAGCCTCAGTCGCTTGGCCTACAAACGACACAGTTTGGATTTCACAGTATCTTTTGCATTCCTTGAGCTTTGCTACGGAATTATTTTGGGGTGTCCCCCAACCCCTACCACTAGGTCCAACCTCTTTTTTCTCTGTTTCTCTGTATGTATTCCAGGAAGGTAGTTACTTTCGGCATCAACTACTGCCATCTTCCTTATGGAACCGGAACAGTTCGCGGGATGTCAGCACTGTGAGGTGGCGATGTTAGGAAGACTCACAGAGATGATCAAAGTCCATTTTCACACATTTTCTAGTATACTTAGTAAGCACCTATAATACACTCGTAAGTTCATACATCTGTGATGGCTACTCTGGCTGTCAGCTTGGTTCAATTGTTAAGATGCCCAGAAAACTAGTAATCGCCCTTTGAGGGGTGTCCATGGTGGGGAATTTAGGAAAGACTGCTTCCTGGGTGAATGTGCAGGGGTGGGAGTGACCATGAGCAAAATTAAGTAAGAAGCTAGCTTTTGCGCATGCTCTCCCTTCCTAGACAAGTTCATTTATTGTTGCTGTTACCTGTGGACAGAAGACTCCAGGTTCTTTAATTATTGACCACAGACTTATACCAGTGGCTTTGCAGGGAGACCCAGGCCTCTGGTCTTAGACTGGGGCTGCCCTTGGCCTTTCTACCATTCTGAGGCATCCAGCTTTTAAGTCTGGGCAGATTCAGCTTGCGATCGTGCAAGCAGACACTGCGGGACTTTTCAGGTCTCTGGGATTCTCTGATTCAGTTCAGTAAGTCATATGCTTTTGGTTCTGTTTCTGTGGAGAAGCCGGAGTAGTACAGCCAACTTCCAAAGAAATATTTCTAACAAAACGGTGAGAAATCTGCAGAGCCACACACAAAACAAAATGCATTCCACTGAGTATTTTCAATATCTACTCAAATGAAGGAAGTTAATTATGGAGTTTAATACATTTTAAATTGCATTATTATTTGCAGTAAGATAATATTTACTTCTGTAACACCATAAAAAATGCCATAATTTGGTGTTAAGCATACAAAGCCACAAAACAAACTGATACAAATATGTTTGTGTGTGTGTGTGTGTGTGTGTGTGTATTAGAGTTCTAACTCTAGAAAGAATCACGTAATAAATTACCTCTTAGTCATTACATAACTGGTAATATGTCTCCCATGCCACACTTCTCTGTAGGCTTCACACTTTTTTGTAGGCTTCACTTTTAGTACAGTGAACACACATTATTTTGATAATCAGAAAGATAATAAGAAACATAATTGAAAGCTTTAACCAAATAGAGTTTAACATGGGTATAATGGTCACCAGAGCCTATAGACTGTGGTCCTAGCTGAAATACAAATGGAGAAGGCTTAGAGTGAAAACACATACAAGAAAGACCATATTAGCATACCACAGAAACGAATTCTTCATTATACAAACATTTATTTTCAGAGTGTAAGAAGTAAAGAGTATGAATGATGCTAAGGTGAAAGACTGGCCCAGCACTGCATCCCCAGGCTTTTTACTGTAGGCCTCCGAAGCTTTTAGATTGTGTGCCCAAAAGAAAAGCTTCTTTGGTGGCAAAAATCCTGTTCAAGTTGTGCTTCCTTGGGTCCGTATTCCAGTTTGGAGCAAGGGTAACTAAACAACAAATTGTACTCAATTGTCTGCATTTTAGATGCAAATCAAAAGAGATTCCTGAAGTTCGTAATTCTACTCAGCCTAAATTTCCAGCCTTCCCTCACATCTACTGGAAAAGATATCTTTGACCACCATTGTATAGCCAGTTGAATGGGCTGTTCTCAAGCATTCAAACAAAATAAGCAAGAATGAAAGTATTTAGGGAATCCAGAATAATTAAAAAAAATAAATAAATTCACAAGGCACGTGACATTTTTCTTATGTCTTCAGGAGACTTATTTGTTATTAGGTTACCATGGGGCAGGGCGTGTCCTGTTTAAGTGTCTTACATCCTTTTGTGGCAGTTTGATTCAAATAAAATTTCTCCACCAGAGTCTATTAGCCCTATTGCTTATCACAATGGAATTAAAAACATGGTTATTTATTTTTATCAATATCTTGCAATGACAAGGTAATTCAGAGCTACAATGTTTTTGCTAAACATGCCCCAAGTTATGTAAGTTCAATATCCAGGATACTGCTCTGCCTCTTCCTTGAGTCCTTGTGGCAGCCGTCCCGGAAATGTGTTTGTCTAAAACACTAAGCACAAATTGGTTGTGAGTTCAAGATTTCCAGGAAATGGAGCTTCCTTTCAAGGAAGCCTGGAAAGTTACTGGGTGCATTTCTGTTTACTGATAATTAGTGCCCAATGCATATTCTTCACACTTTTTCTTTCAATTTTTATTATCTTTATAATTCCCAACAACAAAAATTACTGATCAAGACAGGAATCACCTTTCCTTTTTGGATTCTTGTAAAGACATTCACTTCTATAACCTCCATCACCTTTGGCACTGTCAATTGTGATCTGACCACACACTACAGAATTTTGTCTGAAGGTGACACAGAAATTACAACTGAGAAAAAATGAAAGATAGGTATTTACCAACAAGGCTCCAGAGCTTGGGTTTCTATTTCTTTGGCTTTGTTTTATTTAGCTCTTCATACTGAACTTGGTCAGACATTGTTTTCAAATAGTTTCCAGAAGTTGCAATTGTTCGTCAAACAACCAGACCTATGTTATTTTCTAATCTGCTTACATTAGAGTACTCACTGAAGAAAGGGGTCGTGGGATTGATTACTTTTGTATGTACCTGGAAGCACTGCATTCCTTTAGATCATCTAATAACCGAGCAGGAAGTGAGGTGCAGAATTTGTTCACCATGGATGTCAGAATAGAGACAACACTTCTCGCAGGACAAATCTTATTTGCCACCTGTTTCTGTAAATGAAGCTCTGCTGGGGCCAGTCACATTCACCAGTGATCAAGATTTTATCCATCCACATGACAGGAGAAGACTATTCTGGACAGAGAACTTTTGAACCAGATAGCCTAAAATACTTCTTATCTGACTCTGGGTGACAGAAAACGGCCACCTCTGCTATGCGGCATATTCTCTGTTCTCTCAGAGATTTCTAAACCCTGGCATTTCCTTTTCCACCAACATACTCATTTTCTTAAACCTCAAGCATAAACAACACCATCTTGCTCACCATGTCCTACTTGCTGTTTGTCACATTACTACACTGCATGATACAATTCCTAAATTTTGCTTACTTGACCTCTTGTAGGAAGGTTATCTGCTGACATGGGTGTCTGTGCTCTAACGGACCTCACCAGCATAGACCATAAAGAGACACTGCTTCAAACAGCCTGAGGGCCATGCACTGGAGCGGGTTCTGCAGGAACAAAAGGCAGGGCGTAAAGAGATAAAATAATATATGGAATGACCTAATTTATCTCTTCCTCAGAGTTATGGTTGACTATGAAACTGGTCATTCTGTTAAAGACTTCTGTGGTGAAAACGTGAAAATCTAGATCTGCATTGCTTTTTATAAATCTTCCCTAAAAGCCTTCAAAGTTTCCCATAAGATAATTGATGCCCATGTTGCCTGTACTCTAATAATAACTAAAAGAAAAAGAATGCCAAAAATAATTGTGGGATTTTTATACAATTAATAAAACTAAGCAAGATGATGAAAGTTAGTTGTTGTATGCACTTGTTCTAAGAGTTTCCACTTAAGTATTTAGAAATATTTATGCACATATATATAATTTATAAAGTGTATCTGCTTTTAAGGGGTTTGTTTACATTATTAGAGAATATTAAAATAGCCTACCTCCTATTTTGCTTTTGGAAAGTATACATTTAATGTTTTTTAAAAGAATAAAATAATTTCTATCTTAAAATAATTAAGAAACATTTTAGACACATTACAGAAGGACTAATGATATGAAGGATATCATATTTATAGCTTTAACATTATCTTAAGTAAGCTATTTTGGTCATTATTGAGGTAGTAAAAGTTTTTAATAAAAAAGAAAAAAAAAGAGGACTATGTCACCCAAAATTCTCAAGTGAGTTTCTAAGAAAGTTTAGATACTAGCTCTAAGACTAAGTTATAGATAAGAAAGCTCTCTTATTTAGCGTTTAACACCAGCAGCCTGTTCTAAGACCTCATATCTAGCTGACATATGGAAGACTACATACCAGGGAGGAGAAGACAAGGCAAAACCTATAGTCACCATTCAAGGACATCCCTACCAGAGGAGTCATGTCTCACAGATGCCAGCTATTCCCTCTCCTTCTGCTCCCCACCCCTCCTGTCGCTTCCTTTCTCCCTCCTCTCCTACCATCCTAAAAACATGGTAGGAGTAGGTCTGTAGTAGGATAAAATATCTTTCACCACAAAACAAATCAGCTAGCTTCTTGTTCCTAAAATTCCAAACTTTCAAAACTGTAAAAAACAAATTTTTGCTGTTGAAAATACCCACTGTCTAGGATTCTGTTACAGTACTCATAAATTATACCTCATTGCCATCAGCAGAATAATTGATGTGCCCCTAAACATGCCTGCAGAAAGGAATAAATAACAGAAAGAAATGAAGGTTTGCTTCCAGTGCTTCTCAAGCAAAACCGCGTGTATTCCTTTGATGTCCTACCATGGCTCCTATTGCTATTATAAAGACATGATCAAAAGCAACTTGGATTGGGTTTATTTCAGCCCTCTGTTTATAGTACACTGTGAAGAGAAGTTAGGGCAGGAACTTAAGGCAGGAACAGAAGCCATGGAGGAAAACTGCTCACTGTCCTATTTTCCATGGCTTGCTCAGCTGGCTTTTTGAAAACACCCAGACTACCTACCCACAGTGGCTAAGCTCTCCCACATCACATTAGTCAAGAAGACTCCCCTATGGGGAACCGTTGGAGTACTTTCTCAACACTGGCTCCTTGTTCCCAGATGATCCTGGCTTGTGTCAAGTTGACAATAAATAAATAAATAAATAAATAAATAAATAAATAAATAAATAAATAAGTAAATACATAAATAAATCTAACCAGTATGACATAATCAGATCTGATGATCTGCAAAACCAAGAGAAGGAGTTGAGAGTAAGACATTCACCCTGCTACCCACCGTAGGCCAGAATAGAAACATACAGTGTTCAGGAGAGCCCACACCTGCCCAAGAGAAGTAGCTCTAGCCATGGTCCCCCGACCCAGAAGTCTTTTCAGCTGAAAAGAGAAACAGCTACCTCTAGGAGATGGTCCACGAGAAATTGAGCCCTTTAGCCCTCTCCCATCTCCTCAATGTTCAGCTTGAAGCAGTTAGAACCAGAAGGAGGCAGGCAAGCATGCTATATAGACTGTACTGTTTCTTCTACTGATCTACAGGACTCTCTTGAAGTGGAGTGGGTCTAGATAATTAGTCACACAATTACTCCCTATGTAGAAATAAGAGAAAATAATAATAGAAAAAAATAGACAGCAAAGCCCCATGCATATCCTCACAAAAAAAAAAAAAAGGAAAACACTTTGTACCTTTTGAAGTTTAAAACTGCAATCTGAAATGCATCTATATATTCAAGCAGTAAGTGTAAGAAAATGATAGCAAACAGTTAAAAGTATTAGGAGAGGTTTAGACACTTTGGTTAAACATTTATCAACCAACTATAAATTATATCTATGTTATCTTATAGGAAGATAATTAGGCTATCTGGTGCTTGGTAAAGGAGACCATGGCCCTGTCACTTGGCACTCTGAAAACCTAACACGGTGTTTCATTTAAAGGAGATGAGAAACGTAAGTGAATACCATTGTTCCTAATACAGCGACGAAGTTAAGACCCTTTGTTTTTCAGTTAGAAAAACTCTAGAAATGGTGGACCATTATTACTGTCTTTGACCGTATTTTCTGTGCCTGGTTTTTCTGCTCCTAACCTAGTGACCACATTTTGGAAGTGCCTAGAGCTGTGCTGTCAGTCTGTGCATGGTAGTCCCCATGTGACCATCGGAGAGTAATTGGAGTAAAATGAAATGAAACTAGATATCAGCTTCCTCACTGGAGCCAACTGCAACCTCAATGCTGAAAAGTTGAGACAGATGCAGTTTTGAAAGCCAACTTAACCAACTAACTGGCAATACCACAGGGTGAGTTAATTCAAGATGTTCTCACCAGTAGGATCGGGAAGGGGTTAATGCCTACCTCACAGGATGATTGTGCAATTCAGCAACTCATTCATGTAAGCTGCCCAAAACAGATCTTGGCACACAGAGAAGGCTCAAAACTATTACTGTATTTATATTATGATTTTATTTTTATGTTGGATTATTTTAATGTTAATGGTGACTGATTAGTCCTGATGTAAACTGTTTATCAGATCTAAGAACAGGAACCAGTAGATTTGTCCCAGAGACAATAATGGTCTAATTGAGACAATACATCTCTAGATAGGATTTATACAAAGTGAATAAATTGTAATAATATATGTATATATAAATTCTCAAAAAGGCTACCAAAGATCATCAGGAGATGGGCAAAGCCCCAGCAGAACAAAGAATGAGGTTTTCAAAGGTGGAGAGTTTGAGAAGGTTTCAAATAACATAAGGAAAGCACTAGTGGAAGAATGAGAGAAGAATTTTAGAGGAATCATGCCGAGTTGCTGGTAAGAGGTGGATAAAAAGAAGCTCTATAGGTTTTGCTTCTAAAGAATATACATCTTCCTTCCATCCCATAGGCCAAGCCATGTTTATTTGTAGAACAGAGCACTGAAATAATCTAGTTAGGGTTGACTTTAATAGCGGTCACTCTCTGAGCTTTATTTCTCCTACATACTATCTTCACATGATAAAATTATTGTACTCATATGCCACTTGAATTTATAGAAGCAGATATGAAAAGCTGATTCTTGAACTCTGGAGATTTGCTGGTAGAGAAAAACTACTTCCCTCTAGTTCAAAGAGACGTGATAAACACAAAAGTTTCCCAGGTGGGCATTTAAATTTTAGTCTCTGCTTTTGATTCCTTGTGGTATTCAGACAAAATGATACATATAAAATTTATTCATCATTACAAAAAATCAGCAAACCGTCACTAATTGTTTAACTATTAAAGTGTATGCTGTGATTTATAGCCATCACGCTGATACCAGTCTCAGTGTGATCACTCAGCACTGCCACAGAAGACACACCTCATCTGTTTGTCTCGGGAAATATCACATGACAACTGTAAGGACACGTACTTGCTATCACCTGCTGGTAACATCCTGTCAGAAGAAGCGACAGCTTAATGACACAGCACAGCTCCTTCTGGCAAATCTCCAGAGTCAAATGTTTCCATTGCTTCCTGCAGAAGCATGGCAGCACAATTACCACAGTTCTCAGAAATAACACGATCAAGTAAAGCAGTCCAGGACAAAGTTATTCTTAAACACTAATGGACTTTTGCCCATAAAATCCCTTGGTGCCTATTCTATCTACACACAGTCTCACCAGCACTGGCTACCTTTCTTCTGTGCTCTAGTTATTCTGGCTGATGAGACCTCAGACACCACTCATTTTGTGCAATGTAGAGAATGGTTTGCACTATATATCTGAATCAACAAAGTAGCCACAGATTCCTGGAGTGGTCCCAGGCATTGTATGTCTACAGCACTGCTTGCTGAGCCCCTTTCTGATGAAAGAACAAAGCTTCTAGCACCAGGCCAGCAGCTCACTAAACTTCTAAGAACCAGCTTGTTTCTATTAACCAAGTTTACTTGCCAGTTGGCAAAACAAACTGCTAAGCTTCCTGTGCGATGAATTTTCCTCTCCCTGGCCTGGACAGCAGATAGTGTCCATACTGTCAGTTGTAATTGTTTTGTCTATAGGGGCTGTATGTAATTATCTGGGAAGAGCCAAGAGAGCCCTGGCCCCCATGACAGGTGACTTAGTTTATAATTATATCTTCTCTCCATTGGCCTCATTAACTACTCTTGTTCAAGTGGTTAGCAGTGGGCCAACTCTCTGGTAGATTAGCATGCGTCTAACTACTACTAAGGGTGGCCATTTTTACCTTATTAATTTAAAATTTTTTCTTTTCTCTGCTTTCTATCACTTCTCCTATCCTCTTCAGATTAGGTGGAAAGAAAATGGGTTTCTAGGACATCAGCAAATACTGCCTCACTCCTTGTGGAATTAGGTTTACTGCACTCTAAGATTTGACTGTTTTGTTGAGGGAGGAACTAAGGATCTAGCAGATAGACATAGATACCTTGATTCTTGCATCAGGACAATCTCTACATAAGGAAGGCTGCAATGCTACATGACTACATTACTGAAAGAAGCAGATTCTTCAACACACACAGGTTGGGTACAGAGACAACTGAAAAGGCTTTGCTAAAAACTCAGGACTTAAAGT